CACCCACCATCCAAGATTTTGGTTTGATTTCCAGACCTGATTTCTTTCCAGCAGAAAACTTTGAAAGTAGGCAAGACTTTCAGCCAATTAGACCACAGCCAAGAAGCTGAGTCTTTTCTAGCAGCTTGAAAGATGGAGGTAGTAGGGTAATACTTGTTTTTCAGCACTTTAGACACAAGCAATTCAGGTTGGCTATTAATTCTCCACAGCTGTTTCAGCAACAGAGCTTCATTAAAAAGCTTAAAATCATGGAAGCCCAACCCTCCCTGATTTTTGGGGGTGGCTAAGGTGTTCCAGTTCTTCCAATGAATCCCCCTCTCTTGATTTTCTCCTTTACTCCACCAGAATCTAGCAGTAAGGCTAGCCAATTCCTTACAAATCCCATCAGTGAGTTTGAAACAAGACATAGCAAAAACAGGGAGTGAGTTGATGACAGCCTTAATGAGGACTTCCTTCCCAGCTGTTGACAAATACTTATTCTTCCAGCTCATCAGTCTTCTTCTAACTGCCTCAGTGACAAATTCAAAAGCTTCCTTTTTTGATTTACCAATTCCATAGGGCAGTCCCAGATACCTAGAAGAGTTGTGCTCAGTCAACCCATCCAGCACAGCACAGATATTTGATCTATTAGACCCCGGGGTATTTTTGCTAAAGAATACAGTGGACTTAGCAAGATTCACTTTCTGACCAGAAAAGTTTCCATACACCTGCAGGATCTCCATCAGCATTATTGCTTGCTCTGTGTCAGCTTTACAGAAGATGAGGAGGTCATCTGCAAATGATAGATGAGTTAGCATAGGACCTCCTCTAGCCAATCTCAAGCCTCTAAATCTGCCATCGGCTGCAGCTGATTCAATAAGGGTAGATAAGGCTTCGAATACAATCAAAAAGAGATAAGGAGCAATTGGGTCTCCTTGTCTCAAACCTCTCGAGGGTCTAACAAGCCCCACAGCTTCTCCATTTAGCATAAAGGAAAATGTAGCAGAGGAGACACAGAACATAACCCACTGAACAAACTTGGTATGAAACCCCATTTGTATCATAATAGCACTGAGGCATTTCCATTCAACCCGGTCATAAGCTTTCATCATATCCAATTTCAAAGCCATAAAGTTGTGATTACCTGACCTGTGTCTGTTCAAATAATGGTAGCACTCATGTGCTATGATAACATTGTCTAGGAGTTGCCTCCCAGGGATGAAAGCACCTTGGGTAATGCTAATGCAGGCATCAAGACACAATTTCAATCTACTTGCAATGATCTTAGAGATTAACTTGTACACAACTAAACAGAGGCTTATAGGTCTGTACTGATGTAAGGATGTTGGATTCTCACATTTTGGAATAAGAGTCACCAGAGTATGATTCCAGTACCTGAGCAGCCTTCCTGAGTGAAAAAAACTTTGGACAGCAGTACATAGATCATGTTTTAAGACAGGCCAGAAATGCTGGTAGAATAAAGCAGTCATCCCCTCCTCTCCTGGAGCCTTCAAGGGGTTCATTGAGAACAGGCATTGTTTGATTTCATCATCTTCTACTGCAGCTGTAAGATCCCCATTCATTTCAGGAGTGATTGAGTGAGGTATTAAATGAAGAATTCTGTCCTGACCCTCAGATCCTTCTGAAGAGAAAAGATTCTGGTAAAAGTGAGTTAAATGCTGCTGAATTTCTTCTTTGGATTCTAGAACTCTGTTCCTCTCATCAATCAATCTGGTTATAGCATTCTTTTTTCTTCTTTGAAGGGTGACAGCATGGAAGAACCTGGAGTTTTTGTCACCTTCCTTCAGCCACAAGTTTCGAGATTTCTGTTGCCAAAAAGTCTCTTCTGAGCATTGAGCTTCTTCCAACTCCCTTTTGAGACTTTCCCATTCATCCCAGTTTTTACCACTTCCCAGCTGTCTCATTTCTTCCAGTTTAAGAGAAATATTTTTAATCTGTTGCCTGCTATCTGAGCATCTATTCTTGTTCCACTCAGCAATGGCTAGTCTTGTAACCTTGATCTTCTCTTTTAGTTGGTAAAAAGGAGTACCTGATTGGCTTTGATCCCATGCCTTAGCAACCACTTCCCAGTACCCTTGAGATGATATCCACCGCTTGTCAAATCTGAATCTGCTTTTATGCTTCTGAACAGGAGGATCTGCTTGAAGAGTGAGCATGCCATGATCAGAAGCACTTTTGAAGAGGTTTTGAACTTGAGTGTGAGGAAACCTCGATAGCCACCCCAAAGATCCAAAAGCAGTGTCCAGTTTTTCTTCAACTATGCCCTCTTCATCCCTGTTATTGCACCAGGTGAACTGGTACCCTCTCATGCTTATCTCAGTCACTCCCATGTGGGACAAGAAGTTTTGGAAGTGTTGTAAGCTTTTTAAAGTTCTTGGCCTGCCACCTTGTTTGTATTCAGCCAAATGCAAGTCATTCCAGTCGCCAATCATACACCAATCTTCACCCCATTTGACTCTGTCATCTTGAAGGCACTTCCATTGAGAAATTCTGGTTGGAAGATCAGTGCTCATGTACACAAAAATAAGCCAACAAGAACCCTGCTCACTAGAGAATTTAAATTCAACCTGAATACAAAAGCTAAGAACTTTCAACTGGATAATATTTACATTCACATCCCAACAAAGCATAAGCCCCCCTTTACTACCTATAGGGTCCACAAAACAGA